ACTGACACGTGACACATCCATGCAAAGTCACTTGCAAAAGCTTCCCCAATGGCAGCGAATTTGAGACGCGACGACGACGACACGACGACGAGAGACGACGACAAACGACGAGAGACGACGACAGACGACGAGAGACGACGACACGACGCAAGCCACGCAAACACAGGTCCAACCCCCAGACCCCCAACTATAAACGGGAACCCTTCGCTACGCATTCGGGAAAAAGCTTGGGGTTTAAAGTTCTGTGATCCACGCTTTAAAATGGGATCCCAGTTGGATTCAAAGCGTCCTGGACGTCATCGGTGATCGTAATTAATCTTCCCGAGACTATCCTACACTTCATGAAAAAAGAAACTGGGCTGTGTCTGCTCACACATTTGGAGGCTTCTGTATGTATCCTTTTGAACCTGCCATGTCGCTCCAAGATGTTGCTCCTCTGGGACTTCCCCAAATGCCATCCGTCGGGGCCCATCCGAACTCGTCCCAGGAACCAAAGAGAAGGAACCTCTACATTGGGTATATGTCTTCTAGATCTGTGCTCGGGAAAGCCCCAAAACTGCACCTTCTGAAATTGAATCAATTCCCGAATAGTTTGTATCCTTGTGGTACAGTATGACTCATATATAATGTTGACATAGGATTAAGTAACCTCCCCTATAAATCAAGCCCAGCTCGACCCCCAAATACTAAACTAACTTAAAGCCTAAATTCCACATTTGCATCACCCTAATGAAAATGTTCCTTTGGCAGAAACCTCACCCTATTAATCAAGCCCAGCTGCCCAGAAAAACATAGAAATACAGTGGACTATTACAATTATAGCGCTATATATTTGTGTTGTTTTTCTATTTGGTCAGTATCCAATATCTTCTGGTCCATGGTGAAACTGATCCATGATTCACACAGAATCCCATCAAAAATCATCCATCATCAGGTCCAGGTCATCATCTCATCATCCATCATCATGTCATCACCTTTATTCAGGGGATGTGGTCTCCAATACCTCCAATCTCAAACCTTGTTGATCTTGTTGACCTTGAAAGGGGGTGTGATGAATCCTACGTCCTTACGTCGACATGATATCCCATTACCAGTAAGAGTGGATGTTTAGTAAGGCCGTTCTGAAGAGTCACAATAATTCATCGACTGTTCCTGGCAATAGGACACACCCAACATCTACACATAACAGTCTCCCATGCGTGTTTTGTTTCCGAATTTCAACCAGGGCTCTCCCTATCCATGTATGGAAAAATTGCTTACATGGATAGGTCCTACATGTCTGTATACAACTATACATACAACTCTTCCATAATTACATGGAAATAGTTACTTGCTTGTTGGTCATAAATGATCACAAAATGTATAACATATATAGTTTTCCTCTACCTGGAATAGTTACTTACAGTTTGGTTCATACATGTATGTAACTCTTCCATACATGGATGAGGAGGGCATCTTCCCGCTCCGTCGACGCGCCTCGACCACTTCGGCTCGCCGCCGACGCCGGGCGCGAGCGCGGAGCCGGACAGGTGGCTCCCGCGGAGAGAGGCCTGGAAGTCGTCGGCAACATCTTGAGGAGTTTGAGTCGGTCTTTGAGTCAGGGAGACCCCCAACCTTTACAGGGTTTTAATATGTTTTAATGGTTTTAGATGGCTTTAATGGTCCAACCTTTACAGGGTTTTAATATGTTTTTAATGGTTTTAGATTGATGATTGTTAGTCTATGTCCGTTCTTGAAAAGGGTGTCGTTGCCTGCGAGGTCTCCCTCTTTTAATACACACCCCTTTCTTGATTAACTACAACTGTTCCCTGGACAGATTCACAAAGACCGTGATAAACAGCAAAATCAGCAAAAAAGACCATCGTTCTTGCGGCCAATGAAAAAATCCAAATGCATTAAAAAGCACCGCGCATGCCGCTGAAGCACAAGAGGGGAACCTTCAAGGGCCCAAAGTACATGGAGCCGTAGACACCCCATTTGAGCTGGTGTTTGGAGCTCGGAACCGGGGTGGTGAAATGCGTGTCCCGGTAGCAGCAAATTGGCACACCTGCTTCAGGAGTGTCCTAGTAGACGTCAGATGTGTGCAAGATAGGATGCTTGCCTCCGCTATAGTCAGGTGTTTTGATGATGTGGTTGCATTCTCAGTTCTCCCCTGCTGGTTGCGACGATTATTGCAAACAAATCAAGTGAAACATATCGAAACACAATTAGGACTGGGAAGCCTTTGCTAAATTATCTTGGTAAATCCCCTCTAAATACGTATTGTACGTACACCCGGGAAGGGCGTAGTTCCTCTAAAAACCTCTTAAATACCTCCGGGACCTCTCAACCCAAACCCGGAGAGCGCTTGCTTGCCCAAAACCAGGCACACGACCGACTCGTCCTGCAACACATCCGACTCGCCTTGCTTGCCCCGGTGGATGCCAGACCCGAGGTGTGGCTTTGAACGGCTTGCGCTTCTGCGAGGTGCGGCGCACCTCCGAGACGTGCCACCACTCTGGGTGCGCAACGGAGTGTGGAAAAAACATCGGACTCCTGAAAGAGGAATTGGTTTGGGTAAGATGTTTCTGTTTTTGTTCATGTCAATGTGCATGTATAGTACTACTACATACTACTACACACCCATTGCACCCATGCCATTTCATGTGAAGATCTTATGTGTGATTCGCTCACTTGTCTCCGAATCATGCCACTGACGAAAACCAAAATTTGTTCGGTCGATGGTCAGGAGGCGCCCTAGCAAGAGACAGAACTGAAAATCCGACACCAAACACTCCCAAACGAGACTGCATGTTCATCCATGGGACCTTCGGTGTGGCCAAGCCAGCCCCTACTTGGGAGCTTTCCCATCGTCCTCGCCTCCGCCAAGCTCCGTTGCTTCTTCTTGCGCCACTCGCGCTCCAAGCGCGTGACCTATCCAAGGACGAGTGGGTCGAGCTGTTGACAAGTCAGTTCCAGCAGCGGGAAACGCAAACCGATGCTGAATCCCAATGTATACAGATACTGGCGCTGCTCGAATCACAATCTTGCTCAATGTTTTCAGAGTCACATCTCAGTCTCAATGTCAACCCTAGGTTCATGGACACCCTAGGTTCAACCCTAGGATGGACACAATGTCAACCCTAGGTTCAACCCTAGGTTCAGTCCATTAATGGACACAAGGTCAACCCTATGGTTCATGGCCCCCCATCAGTTTGGCTCGGCGTTTTGCGTAGCTTCCTGCAATACCCCACCGCCTGAACCCAAAAACAGTCGGGAGCCAATGTTCCAAATTTGGGAGCCCAGAAGCCCCCGACTAGTTTAGCTTCCCTTCAACTAATATTTGTCCCACCCCCTTCTGCAATCAAGAAACATGTTTGTTTGAGTGGTGCTTTTTGTTTGGCGACTCTTTGTTGAGTTGGAAGGGTGGACTATTGCATCCCTAATTGGATCTCTCCTCATCAAGAGACCTAGTCTTTGGGATCTCTCCTCATGATTGACCCTCCCAAATCAACTGGTCTGATCCTCACCCCTTCCGACCTTGTAGGGTGGTTATTAATCTGGGGGTCGACATTTGTGGCAAATATGGGTAGAGGTTGGGTCTATCCTGTTGCCAGTAACCGTGGACCTGGATGATGATGGCGTTTAAAGATCTTTCTCTGAAATAGTAACAATTTGTTATCAACTGATACAGGTAAGAGACAGACCCAAGGTAGACGATTACTCAATTCAAACACAAACGTATGAGCCAGTTGTGGAACATATGACCAGTTGTGATTTTAGCAGGCGGGGTTACAACTTTCACAATCTTGGTTTTCACCGCCCTGTATCAAAGGTTCTCCGCCACGGTATTAGTACGGCTCATCTGTTCACCTGTTTTCAGTCTAGGCCAACAACAGTTGAGCTGAACATAGAATCCAAATGCTCCGCCAGTCACGTGTCCAGCGTCCACCTCTGCAAATCTCTGCGAGCTGAGTGTCCGTTCGATACCTTCGACTCCCCCAAAAGGGAGCCTATGAGGAGTGGATCCTGAATGCTTTGTTCATGTGTTTGCCTGATACTTGCTGGGTCTGTGCCCGATGGATCCACAAACCGTACCTCAGAAGCTAAGACTGGACCCGACAATGGCGCCGTCACATCAATAGTCTCCTTCCTCACCGTACCTCAGGTTCGGTATGTGGATCCATAGGGCGATGAGTCTGTTCTACTTTGGACCCAGTCCCTCTGCGGCTCTTCCGCCCCCTAGCCTTGTCCCATGTTTGCCTAGCAACAAGGGCTAGAAACACTACTAGTAGCAAAGCCATTTACTAATAACAAGGGCACTACTCCCCCCATGTTTGCCTCTTTCTTGGCACCCTCTTCCAGGCGTGGATTCCGGCAGAACCCATGCACCTCGCGGAGCACCTCGCACCTTCGCACCCTTCGCACCTCGCGGCCTCGCCCCTTCGCACCTCCCGGCCGTCGTCTTGAAGTGGGTCCTCATCGAAACAGGTGTGTCAGACCATCTCGTTGACTCGCTGGTCCGGCCACCGGGCAACCCCCGGGCACCGACGGGGGATAGGACGTGGCTACAACGGTTGGTTGGGTTTGGACCCACCGCGGCACCCGGATCCAGCGCCCCATTCTCACGCCGTGGCCGTAAGTTCTGAAGAAATCACAGGAGCACCAATCCAATGTCATCCAATGGTATACCGAACCTGGTCATGACCTCTATTTTGGACCACCAATCACCCCAAAACATGGCCAAACTTCCTATCCAAACAGGGGTCAATTGGGTTATCCACTGTAATTCGATGTCCTTCGATGTAACAGGTTACTGTATAGAACGCCCGATCGTGGGCCACCAGACTCGCACCGCTCAACTCCCGTTCCAATTCCTGTGACTCCCCAGCAAACCGACAAGAACCCCCTATCAAATCCCCACCACTTGAGAAGAGCCGTTCAAGTCGAAGTTCTGAGACGTGAGGGAACACGAAAACGAGAAGAACGAACACCGTCTTGCGTTCAGCCGTCAGTCCAAAACGCCAGAAGGACAACATCGACTGGCCGATCAACTACTGATCAAAGCAGAAAATAAACACACGGCCCAAACCAAGGCAAAGAGACCTTCTCAGCATTTCTCAACTTCCATTGGTTGTCTTCGCGATTGCTGCTGGTCTTCACTGTTGCCGTCCCTCAAAGAAATTACAGTCCTGTTGCGCCTCCACCATGTCCCGGACATGTTTCAGGATGCTGTCCTACAGACGTACCGCGGGTCCCCCCACGACCAAACACTTTGGAGAGGATGCTTTGATTAACGTGATTGGTTTCAGAGGTCTCCTTAGTACTTGTATAACTAGGAAGCACATCACAACTCAAACCTCAAATCTGTTTCAAAACCAACTCGCCAGCATATCTGAAAAACTCTTCAATAATCGCCGATAGGCTCCTGTTTGAGCTGCGACTAGCAGCTCAAACAGGATCCTTTGGCTTCTACATCTTGAAATGGTGGCTGCAAGCTTCCCCTCTGGAAAGCAGAATCAATCTGCAGAACGAAAAAAACGCTGAAGATTCATGAGTTCCCAAGACCCGGGTGCCGAACTTTGGGTTTAAGGTGCCGATGATCCACTCACTGTGCCGGGTCAAAAATTAAAATGCCACCCTGCGAAACTGGAAGGACCTAGGACCTAGACTTAGACTTTGAGAGCCAAAAGCCTGGCACATGACAAGGAATAGACCCTATGGGCCACGCCATGCCACGCCATGCCTTACTCCATGTTGGGCTTCGAAGGAACCGGCCCCACACCATCTGTCTGGTGATCACTGGAGAACATACCAACAACGGCGATGAAAAGCAAAAGGAGCGAATCACTCATGTATTTATGTGGTTCTTAATGGTTAATCAATCATTTCACGGAGATGAACAATTTTTTTCAATATGTTTCTGATTTCTTTATCTTCTTCTTTCACTTCTTTGAACCAAGACTCCATGGAACGAAGCTGAAGCCGTCGGAACGTCGGTCCCGGTTCCCTCAACTCCCAGGGCTGCTCACTCAAAACGGATGCATTCGCAAGACTAAAATCATATTTCGACGAAAGAGAGGAGTCAACCTGTGGATGTTTGCACACACCTGTGGATGTTCCGCTAAGGTTAGCTTCTTGGTTCTTGAAGCGCTCACCACCTCAACCAGACCCTGCACTTCCAGGACAAACATGCCAAGCACCCAGGGCCGTGCCCTGCACTCCATCGGAGCCCCTCTCCTGGACGACATCGGGCAACGGCAGCAGCGACTTCCTGGCTGCCAACCCGGTTTGAACGCGGTTCAAGCCAACGCGGATTGAACGTCCGAACCGTTCGGAAGAATGGGAACATCCCATTCTCCACGGATGTGCGAACTTCTCCAAAAACCTGGTGGAGCTCGCTGCCTGGTGGCAGTACAGCTTTAGGGTAAGTCCATCTGCAACAATTATGCATGTCTTTTTGGGAATAAGAGAGCGGTCGATGTGGTACCATATACCTAATTATTGCTTGTACACTTCGGGGCATCTCCTCCATTCATCAACCAACCAATAGTCAAGGGACATCTATGATCCGGGAGTGACCCAACCGGTGTCTATGTGTGTGTGCGCGCGGGGATCAAGATTATTTACATCCAACATGACCAAGAAACGAAGGGAGGTATTACAGCGATTCTTTCGGAGGTATCAATCCACCCGATTGCCAAGCTGGCAGAACTGCTGTAGACATCTTGGACATTTGCTGTATTCTTCGGGTATAGTAGGAAGACACCCAACAAATGGGTATAGTATATAGACTTGTCTATTTTCCTTCTTCCAAGGGGTCGAACCTGGAGGTCTCCCTATTTGAGCTACACACGCCGTATGTCTTGGGGGTCTTGTGACAGATTGGGACCTCAGCCGGAGGAAACCGGTGCCTCAGCGGTCTCTCCATTTCTTGAAAAACCGGTCGATCAACACAAGTTGCTTGGGGGTGTTTCAGCAGAGTTCGTGGGGAAAAAAAGGAAAAAGGAAAGTACCTTCTGAGAATCCATTTGGATCCGAAGTAAAACAACATGCTTCGTTGAGACCACCATGGTGACGCTTTCTAGTCAATCCGGGCAGAGGTCCTGGACTGAAAGGTTCCTTATATGGGTTCAAACAATTGCAATTTATATCCCCAGGGTTGTCTTTAACAAAGTGAACGTCTCAAAATCAATATACGATGCTTGGCCAACTCACGGAAAAAAGTAATAGATAATAAGTTTAAAACAAAAAAACACGTGGCCAAAAGTAAGCCAAGCTTGTATCTCACGAGAGAGGATGGTGAAAAGAATTGAACCCACCCAAAAGCTCCATTCTGAAGTCGACTCACCGTTCGCACCGTCCCTGTATAGTCTTTGAAATCACCCTACCTATCCGGATGAAGAACTTGACTCTCTTCCAGGTGAGTCGGATCTAGATGACATCCGCTTGGCTGTCCTTTTGATCAAGTAGAACTGGGCAGTCATGGAACTGACCTCAGTCGATCACTCCGAAAAGGCACTCAACGACCGGACACCAGGTCGGCCCAGGCGTCGTGACGGAATCACAGGGAATGCAGAAAACGAACAAAAAGGGTCACCAGGGGCGGCATGTTTGCAGGTAGTTTAACCATGTTTAACCTGTCTCACATAGGAAATAAATGATCATTTATTGGATCTATCCCATGACCTGTAACAGTGGATGATGATGGTTAGTAAAGGCCTTGTTCAAAAATAGTAAAAATTGTTTACTGACTGTTACAGGTAATAGGACAGACCCTAATCATTTATATAATAAAGTATCTGGACTAGGATATTGTGCATTTGTAGGATGATCCATCCAATCAGAAATTGGTCGCCACATGGTTTGACCGGTAAATACAAGCACACAAAGGTTTGGGGACTACACAGCCATGTCCATCCACGGTCAACCCAAATACCAAGTCTTTGGACAATCCGGCCACCAACAAACAACTTCTGGCCACTTACAAAGCAATGATTGAACATGACTGCAGGAACAATACTGCAGATTGGTCACCACACGATGTTGGAAGTGCGCAACCCAAGTCCCGCCCAAGTCCTATGATCCTCAACCCAGATCGAGAATCCAGCTGGGAATCCATCAGAGGTGTGTTTCCAGACCTGGGTTTCCACTCTGCCGTGGTTCCACTCAGACTCCATCCTCTCCAGGACCCGGTGTCTCCCCGTGTCTCCTTTACCGGGACCCGGTGCCGTTCGGCCCAAGGTGCAATGATCTCAATGCCCTTCCGAGCGCCATAATCCAGGCCCACCAAGGCCCCGAGACCAAAGAATGCGCCTCGCATCCCGCATGTGCGAAAAGAGGAGCACCGCGCATGCTCGATGTGTACAGTAGTGTGTGTGTGTGTGTGTGTCAAACCCTGTTTCTAAGGGTCCTTTCCTTTTTTTACCTATCACGATAAGCAGGGGGCATGGCAGCTGTTTCCCTAGCCATGCCAACGAAGCTATGGGTTTCAGCCGGAAGGGAATGTGGGCGCACATTCCTGCACCTGCAATTGGAACTTTTGATTACGCTGTGACTCCACTCTCCTCGTTTTGGTTCATGGTCTTTTCATGGTACTTCCCCTAAACCAATTTCCTGCCGCGTTTGCAGCTGAGCCACCGCAGCCTTCCGCAGTCACGCGTAAACATTGTTGAACAATTCAGTTGAGCTGATCTTGCGCCATGCTGTTCCCTCACCTTCTTTCCACGTGGGAAGTGTGAACCGCTCAGCCGTCCCACTTGGGTGCTGGGTGTGAAGGGACCGCCGTCTCATACTGGATTTTCACTAACGGATTTCACCGCGGTTTGCTTTCGTTGGATTCCCTTAACAGCCTTAGTGTCACCACTGAATTGCCTGAATCATGAGCCGCCGGGCTTTCACGGAAAGAACTACTCAGATTCATGCTGAATTAGCCGCCGGGCTTTCACGGAGAATAAACCCCGACGTCTTTCTACCCCAAACACCCCAACCCCTCCCACCCACTATTTAGGGTAACAGAGGGAAATGGTACTCGACACTCTTGTGTGCCTTTCCCTCTGTTGTCCCTTTCTAGTCTACTCTACCCGGGCGGTCTAAGACTAAAGTCCCGCTCCCTAACTATTGCACTTAATTCATTTCTGCTAAGTAATCAGTAACTCTAGAGTGCTAAGTATTCAGACACAGACATGTACACACACATGGACATACACTTTTAGGCTTTTTAGGTGTTTCTTGAGGCTCGTTTCCCTACCCCAGTCAAGGGCTAAGTATTCACCTTTTGCGTCACATGTGCGCCGAAAACGGCCACGTGTGTGCGTCAAACCCTGTTTCTAAGGGTCCTTTCCTTCTTTTTACCTATCACGATAAGCAGGGGGCATGGCAGCTGTTTCCGGCTGTTTCTCTAGCCATGCCAACGAAGCTATGGGATTCAGCCGGAAGGGAATGTGGACGCACATTCCTTTACCTGCAATCGGAACTTTTGATTACGCTGTGACTCCACTCTCCTCGTTTTGGTTCATGGTCTTTTCATGATACTTCCCCTAAACCAATTTCCTGCCGCGTTTGCAGCTGAGCCACCGCAGCCTTCCGCAGTCATGCGTAGACATTGTTGAACAATTCAGTTGAGCTGATCTTGCGCCATTCTGTTCCCTCACCTTCTTACCACGTGGGAATTGCATAACTGAAAACCAATGTCAGAGTGTGTCACACTCTGTTCTAAAAGTTTCTGTTGTGTTCAAATCGCAGGGGGTAGCGGCAGATCATTTGGGACCGCTACCAACGAAGACGCCCTTTTGATCTGGTGACATCGGAGTTGGCCACTCCGACGTACCTGCACCAACTTTTTTGTGACTTCACTTTCCTTAGGTTTGCTTCATAGTCCTTGCACGATATACCCCAAAACCTTTTTCCCACTGCCGACTTGCAGCCGATTTGCAACCGCGCTGAGTGTCAGATCGTTTTCGAGTGCACTTGCAAAAAATGTTCAACAATACTTTTCCGCGGACTCTGCCACCTTTCCGTTCTCTCACTCATTTCCTCGGGGAATTGATGTAACTGCAAACCCATTGTCAAAGTGTGTGCCGCTCTGCCTTCCCACTTGGGTGTAGGGTGTGATCCCCCGCAAGGGGGCGCTGTCTTCACTCCGGATTACCGTTTAACTTAACTTATTCAGCGGATTTTCTGCCTGCGTTGGATTCTCTTAACTGACTCTCGCTTCACTACTGTATTCTCAAAATACAAGCCGCCGGGCATACGGAGAATTAACCCCGACGTTTTCTCTACCCCAAACACTTCAACCCCCCCTCTAATTAGGGTAACAGAGGGAAATGGTACTCGACACACTTGTGTGTCGGTGCCTTTCCCTCTGTTGTCCCTTTTCTAGTCTACTCTACCCGGGCGGTGTAAGACTAAAGTCCCGCTTCCTAACTAGTGCACCTAATTCATTTCGTCTAAGTATTCAGTAATTCTAGAGTGCTAAGCATTCATACACACACATGTACATACACCTCCCTGCCCCCCGCTTTCTTTCTTGCGCTTTTGGTCGCTTCTTGGGCTTTCTTTCAACCTTTTCAGGTAGTTCTTGAGGCTCGTTTCCCTACCCCAGTCAAGGGCTAAGTCTTCACTTTTCGCTACGCCTATCTTTCTCTCTTGCCCTTTTAGCGCTGCTCTTTCTGGCTTTCTTGCTCTTGTTTCTAAGGCTTTTTAGGTGCCTATTTAGGTTTTCCGCGAAAGCGCCGCAAAGCGGCCGAGTGTGTGTATCACACTCTGTTCCAAAGAGTCTCTGTTTTGTTCAAATCGCAGGGGGTAGCGGCAGATCATTTGGGACCGCTACCAACGAAGACGCCCTTTTGATCTGGTGACATCGGAGTTGGCCACTCCGACGTACCTGCACCGACTTTTGTACAAGCTGTGATTTCACTTTCCTTAGGTTTGCTTCATAGTCCTTGCACGATATACCCCAAAACCTTTTTCCCACTGCCGACTTGCAGCCGATTTGCAACCGCGCTGAGTGTCAGATCGTTTTCGAGTGCACTTGCAAAAAATGTTCAACAATACTTTTCCACGGACTCTGCCACCTTTCCGTTCTCTCACTCATTTCCTCGGGGAATTGATGTAACTGCAAACCCATTGTCAAAGTGTGTGTGTTCTGAGGGTTTCAGCTGAGTTCGATCCTCAGGGCGAAGTTCGAAGTGGCATGGCAGAATGACTCGGAGTTCGACCTACATCGGATTCGCCCGCAGCGCGACACGGAAAGAATCCCGAATTTCGAATAAAGTGCTGGCTTTGTGAAAATCAGATCCACCAAATGGCCAACGAGTTGATGTTGTCTATCCTGTTTCCTCTCTGCTCCAAAACTAGTCGAATGATCTGTCTTGAAACCTTACACCCTTATCTCCTTCCAATGTTGGCAGTGTTGATGGGATGGGTCAAACATCTTCTTCTCACAAACCTCTTCAAGTCACAGGTAGTCCCAAAATCCGTTGCTTTTCAAAGCAAACACAATCAAATATAAAAAGATAATAATACATCCCAAAACAAACATCTCACACAAAATCCTTCCAAATCATCACCCAAACAATCCATGTTTGTAAAGTGACATTCTGGTCATATTGCTTCCAAATGACAAATCCATTCCAAAAGGAGGCTGTTAGGCTGATTGACTGTCTTTGCCACATCCAAGTCCGAAATTCTCCAAAGCTCGCTCATTCCACGCCCTCTGTCTCTGTCACCTCTCTGCCTGGGAGAAGCTCCTTCACCTCGATCCCAAAGGCACGAAGCTCACAGCGGCCTCACGAAATCGAAGGTCTTCAGAAATGCTTGCTTCGCACCTTTGAGATTGCACTACTAGCGGTCTACTAGAAGCCCTGAGATGCGGCTGAACAACTTTTCGCATGGCCCGCCACACCCTTCTCCAGGCTTGCTTCGTAAGTTATATGCGCCAAAAGCAAAAGCAACTGGCGTATATAATTGCAGCTGTCATGAGGACCTGAGAAAGGTAGAGGTTTAAGAATTTCAGTTTAAGTAATTTATAAACAGTTTGAACATAGCCTTTGAGTATACCACTAGCTGCTAGGGCTAGGGCTAAAACACAGTCTCTTCATGAGGAACATGTGTGGGAAAGTCTTTCAAGAAGCAGAGCTGCCCTTCCTGCCATATACGTCCTTGTTGATCAACAAAAAACCACGCACAATGACTGACTTGCACCTTGTCGCAGCACATGGCAAGCCACTGGCGTCTGGAGCGCATGAATCACCAGTGCCAAATAGTGGAAGGTCACCTGATCTGCGAGCTTCGCTGCGAGCAGGGCAAAACACGCTCCACTCCGAGACTTGCAGGAAAGCCAAGGATCAACTAGCTGTGGATTAATTTTCCTAGTTCTTTGCCGCCCTGGATGTAACCTACCAGCATCCTAACAGGTCTCCGCAGGTCTCGGTTCGACTAACATGTTGCAGCTGGCGACCTGTTGAAGGTTGTGGGTAGAATCCCTCCACATCCTATGAATACGGAAAAAACAGTATTGAATTATGAGACATCTATCTCTCTCTGATTCTCACTGGTCCAAACCTGAGGGAAATGCTGATTTCAGTGTATAGATTGCAAATGTGTTTTTCCTATCTATGTTTTTTGTTTCCCACTCTCACTATGGTCGTATACGGGGTCGGGAACAGCGCTAGCCCATATACTTTCAGCGCAGCAGTGATCTTCTTTCACCATCCAATTGGTCCAGCAAAGCTGGTCGCAGCATGGCGCTGGATAGTGAGCTGGAGGGATCGGTTTCGCAGCTGTGACCGCTCGCTGATGATCAAAGGAAGAACACCGGTTCGCATGAACTCGAAGGCGGCCGGGGATGAACATGGATGAACTCGTTTTGGCTTCCGTTTGTCCAATGAGGTTCTCTTTCATCATCATGCTAGTCCTTCATCTCCAGTGGCAGATTCCAGCATCAGGAGCAAGGATTCCAGTTCATTGGCACCTCAGCAGGAGACAAACGATCTTGTCAAAAGCATTCTCCGACCAACTGGACTGAGGGGAAAATTGTATAGTATGTAGAGAGGAATGTGTTGTCTTTTTCAGGTCTCCATGTCCAGAGTTGATGTTTCTATTTGGAAGGGTCAAAAATAGAGTAGATCGTGCCGAGTGCCTGAAAAGTCTGCAAGAGTGTGGAAGAACATTACTCATTATACTATATTATATTATGTCTGTGTATATACATATAACATATAAGTATGCCTTGGGTCTATCCTATTACCAGTAACAGAATGATGGTTAGTGCAGGCCGTGTCCAAAAATAGTACTGTTTTATATGTACTAATTGTTTACTGACTGTTACAGGTAAAACAGACCCAAATTATGCCATTATAGACATAATCTGGGTCTCTCTGTCTCAAGATTGGATTTCCAAATCTACGATTGGCAAAACACAACCTAACTCACGAGTTGCTCTCTGTACATGCCAAAAGTGCCTACTTTGGATGATCTCCCGCGTTTTTTGGGCCGAAGCATTGCGCCACCATTCGCGCTTTCTTCTTGCAGGAATAAACAGCAGGTAGACTCCACCCGCAACAAAAATTCACAAGATTGCTCCACTTGATCACTCTAACTCGTTGCTAAATTGCCAGAACTTGTTAAACACATCTACAATAAAGAATAGGAAACAACTGGCTTGACCACGGTTTCCTGTACCCGGAGATTCACGTCCCCCGCGAAAACGAACGAAAACCACCTCCCAGGTGTGAACACACGGCCACCAAGAATCTGCAGTCCTTTAGAAAGGAGAGCTCCTTGAGGGCTGCCGCTCGATCGGAACACACCTCGCCCTGGCGGCTGCAGCACCCCGCTCGCGCGCGCATGATGACGGTTTCAGGAAGTGTGTCAATTTTGGGGACAGCGCACGGAAGCTGCTAGCGAAATACGGAGAAAATCCACCATCTGTCCAATGTCCAAACACTGTCTCTCCAAGTTCCAGACATGGGAAAACCCCGCACGATTTTGATTGCCCCAAATGGAAAACCGATGCTAACACAATCTAATCACATGCTAGTCGACCAAACGATTTAGGCTGACCTTCCAGTTTGAACGAACTTGGAGGGTTTCATGTTTCATGATCCTGTCCAAGCGCACCGATGGTTTCATGTTTCGGCTGCCAGACTCTGGGATGTCTCACGTGTGTCTGGAGAATGATGTTCTGCTTGCAAAACGCCTCTTTCACTGTGGCCTTTGTGCAATATATGGCAATGAGTCTAAACCTGGAGCCCCAAACCCTGCTAGGTTGAACTCTGTTCATTTTCTGTGGTCAACCAGGGTCCCGAGTGCCATGAACCACACCCAAAAAAGTATGTATTAAATCTTGTTGAACTTCAAGTGTGGCAATTGGAGAACTTTGGACCAAGGTCACTCGATGCTTCGTTGGGTACAGTTGGACAAATGCACCAAACCATCCAAAACCTTCATTTGAAGCTTTTGGCCAATTTCAGTGTGTCCAAATCGCACGAAACTGTGGATGTTCCTGTACCCGAGCAACCGACACCTCCAAACCAAAATCTAAGCCTAAGCATGACACAAGGATGCCAGATTCCGCCCGATGCTCTTAGAAACGCGGAGTCTGGCGCCAGTAGCGCCAGTCCCAGTCAATGTAGACTTGATGAATAAAGCCACCCATCTTCAGAATGGTCTCTTGTCTGACATCTCCAGGCCTCAAAGGTTGAAGGTGTTCATCCTGCCAACACCTGATCACTGATCAACCTAGTCAGCACTCCCGCATACTCCCGCCTTTCGCAGGATCTCTCGGTACGTCGCTGTGTCCAAGCGCAACAAGAAGCACATCTCCTGCGGCTCCGAGCTTTCCGCAGCGAAGAAAGGGCCAATAATGCAATCCTCTATAACCTTTATTGTTTTCTGAGGGGTCTCGGCTCGCAACCGTTCTTGGCTAGAGGATGCTAGAGGCACAGAATGGCACAGAAGCATTAGGTAATAGCCATAGCTCATGTTGGAGGGAATAACATGAACAAGCCTTCAGCAGACCTAGGTCTGCTTGCAGTGCAGTAGCCCCACCAACAAAAGTCGCAGCTCAGAAAAACACCTGGGACATCAAACAACTCTGCATCGCCCTGAGGATGCAAGCCTTCCGAAGCTGAAGGTCGCTATGGGGGAAGTACAGTAGGTTGCCCTTCTCATCTCCACAGAGCTCCATGCGGGCGACTTCGGACGCCACCGAATTGCTGGGTCCAATTCGGAAGCCCGGCAACCGTTGGAACCATGGCAACTGCCATCCATTCGCATACCACACCATGTACTTTCGCACTTTCGTGCGAACCACCTGGCTTCGAAGCGTCCCGTCCTGTGCCACGGCCGTGGTGCAACGAAACGACCTGGTGCCACGGTACGCGAGTACCGGCGGCGGCGAGTACCGGCGGCGGCGGTGGCTTTGCTTCTTTTTTTTGGAGGCATCGGTAGCCAGAACTCTCAAGAACGGCTGCCTCTCAAAAAACCTGTTTCTTCAATGGTTTTTCAATGGTTTTCTTTTTGGGGTCTCAGAACCATTGAACAGCAAATGAAGCTTCAGCAGTCTCTGCGACGCAGATTCAGGTTGACCTTGTTCCTTCGACGATTCGAGCGAAGTCGGGTCAAGCGGGTCGGGTGGCACACAAGCTTCTAGGTTCAGACTCATTCAGACTCTTTGACCAAGCACTTTGCGGCCCGCCAAGGGTGTTCCTACAGGAAATTCGTTGTGAATTGCCATGAATTCCCGAACTTTCCAAACCTCTGCATCTTCTGTGCTGTCACTTGAATTGGTTTTCAGGAGGGGCGTGGTGTGTTTGGACCAGAGCGGCAAAACAACCAAATTGCTGCAAGCCTGAATCCTCAGGCTGACGCTGGACCCTGGAGTCCCCAATAATGGACCTAAGGGTCAAACAATATGTCTTTGTCATTATTTTTCTATATTTGTTTGTGCTTTCCCAGACCATCCATGGGACTGGAACAGTTACTTGCCATCCATAGATCCACATACCAAACGACTATTTATGTAGGCTTGGAGGTTCCTTTTTTAAGTTAGTTGCTCATTCAACGGTACGTACCGTTGGCCAGTGGATCAACTTTGCCGTACAATGAAGTACAAATCGTTGATGCGCTCCAAATCCATTCAATGATCAGCTACCAAGAGGAAAAACTAGACAATATCTACGTACTACAGTAAGGAAGAATGCTCCTGAAACACCACCTGAACAGCTCAAAAAATCCTGCTTAAAGCAATTGGTTCTTGACGTAAAGAATTTGAGAGAACCAAGCGCGAAAGCACGCCGGTTTCCATCAGATCTTCTTTCACCCAGGCGCTGATTGCTCGTGTAGTCCCAGCCATCCCCAAAGGCACGGCCATCAAAGCAGCTCGAGACAAACGCGCGACCTGCGGCTGAAGGCAACACACATGAGCACATGAGACAACCAATCACTGAAATAATCCAACCCCTGAAACGAAAGGGCTGGATTAGGGCTGGATGATTTCAGTGATAGAGGTGAGACTCCAGGTACTAGGGAAGCATGAAGTGGCTTCGGCTATAACTAAGCTAGCTGACTTCGGTGCAATGGCCCCAAACCATCCAAGTAAGACTTCAAACACCAGTGAAAAAACGGTTCCCCTCCCAGCACCCTCCAAAAACCCTCCCGTCTGGACCCCATGTTTTAACCCCGACCTGTTCGAGCGCGTTTCGCCCCGTTTCGCCCGCTTCGCCGCTTCGCACGTTACGTCGATCGAAGGCCGCTTCGGTCGCTGTAGACCGTCCGAACCGTGTAGAACGCTGCAGTTCATGAATGACCGGTCGCATGTTCGGACCACGGTTGGGGGTCGCCCCAAAGGTGACCGTGTTCACCGTCTTCACCGTGGGCGTTTTCACGCCCAAAAAGGACCGGAGAAGACCGGCTTTGTCACACCCACCGTGTCCATCGAGCGCCGATGGCCGAGGGGTCCCTCCTGCGCACGGGAGGGCCCGGTGGATGACCACGGAGCCGTTGAGCACCACATAGACGTGACCTGTAGGGTCTCCATCGCGGTAGATGATCTCCTGGGAAGCAACTCATGAGTAAACATGTTGAAAGGACTAGTCGACTCTAATGTTATATTGAAACGATGATACGAAGACACAAAGCAAAATACATCAAGAATCATCAAGATATTCTGTGTTATCCAAACTTTTGGGCCACACTCTGGGGTAGCTGTAGGCTGTAGACGGGTTTGCTGGAGAAAAATATATATGGATTCCATACCAGGCTCGCAAACTTTTCTCCATGGCGGTTCTAAGTTATTTTTTCGCGGTAGGGAAGGTGCAGGAATTCTTCAACCAGCAGGCATGGGGACAGAGAGATACCTCAAGTTATCTGGAGCTTGACCAGTCGTGACCTTCCTTGGAAAAATTGCAAATTGGCGCGTAACAGTGGATGCTGATGGTTAGTAAAGGCCTTTCTCAAACACGGTGATCACACACTCCCTAAGTATAACTATAGCCCCAAAAGTGGGGACATCGATGAAAAATCTGGTTTTGGGTGGCGGCATGACCTCCTCCTGCTGCCTGCAATGTTTCTCCAAACACTACGCCAGATCTGCAGAGTCGGTTGCCCTCAGAGAGTCCCAAATGGAAGAAGTTCAGAGGATGAAGAAGTCAGAACATCCAAAGTTGGTTGCTGTTTTCAATCCATTTGAGAATCTTAGTCAGTGGGTTGAATCATCCCAGGTAAAGGTTGAGCATATAAATATCCGAATCTCCGAAACCACCCGATAGAAAGTAACGCACTGGGCAGATGCCCGGTCTTCAAAGCCTGAAGCCACAATCCTTTGGGGTCTCACTATTCCAATAAACACCCATGAATCAAGAGTCAACATAATATAGAACGTTGACCAAGAGCTGGTGATTCATGGTGATTCCGACTTTCCCTCAGATTCTCCAAACAAGCAGCTGCCGTGTCTTTCTCCAAATACTCCGCGGCAATGAGAAACTCCTTGAGCTGCTGCTCTGTTAGCCTGACTACAAGTGTCGGGGTTTAGTCACCCGGGTTTGCAAAAAGTCACCCGGCCGCATGTAAACGCAGCATTAGTAAAAAGTCACCCGTTTTATGTTAAAATACCATGTAAACGCTCTACGGAAGTATGTTTGTCAAAACTGCTGTACATCAAGAATTCATTGTGCACAAAAGAACTAGATTTATGTCGAAGTGTGCAGCGTTTTAGCGGTTTTGGTGACCGAAACCCAATCAGAATGCAAGAGTAGGACGATCATGAAGATTAGCCTACAAACATAAATGCAGCATGCTGAGACTATACGAATCTGTTCCACTTGCTCTGCCCCGCCCAAATGGATTTGAATGAGTCGGCGATTCCAACAGTCAGCGGTCTGGTCGATCACTTTTTGGTCACCTTCCCATGTGGACAATTAAACAATGTGGATTAGATTTGGACATTAAACACCTCAGAAGCCCCACAGAACTTCTAACAAATTCATCCCATGGTTGACCCTTGGTTGACCACTATATCATAATATACCCCAGACATCCCCAGACACTCCATGTATGGAATATATGCATACATTGACCCCCCCAAACCACCCCAACTGATCGGCAAATATGGCCCATCCCATGAGTCGTGTCTGGGTACTGACTTGACAATCTCTTCTTCCCACCATTCTTGCACCCGAACACCCTGGCCCACGCTCGCTGCTTCTTTGACCCTTCCCATCGATGGACGGCGCCCCGGCCCAGGACGGGTGAAGAACCAGCTCCGAGATCCGGGGGGCCTTTTGAAGAAATGCATCTTGTGACAAAGCTCGCCCAAACGTTGCAGAGTCTCCTCTCCGCCGCAGCCTAGAGAAGAAATGGAGACGAGATCCGGTTTGGAGGATATGGAAATGGAATTCATGGGTTCAGAAAAAACACGGATACCTGGAACCCCAAACAACCAGAAAGAAATGGATGTTTTCCCAAACAACCATTTCCTATGTAAAGGATTTCAATTGCCATATTGGAACAACCATTTGTTTCTAGTTGTTTGGGGTTCCAGGTATAGCCCAGTGCTCAGAACATGTTGAGACCTGGTTCAGAAGGAATCGGATCGACCGTTTGAAAACAAAAATGTTTGATTGGCTTTGCGAGTTTGAAGCAGGTTGTGTGTCCAGGTTCGTCACTATGCTGTTTTCTCCCAATTTAACAAGGCCGAAGCTCACCATACCTTAGGGATCCAGTCGTACCTTCTCAGGTACGGTGATTCGAGACACTGTTATGTAGGTTCGGTACGACTGGTTCCTCGATCGGAAAGGCCCCCGCGGGACCTGGTGGCGAAACGCGTGCCGCACCACGTGCAACGCTGTATTCGCATGACGCACGACGATATCCCCCCAAAAAAAGCACAACGACGAAACTGCCTTTGGAGTGGAGCAAGCGCTGGAGTTCCAAACGTTGCAACGCGGTCATGTAGGTCTTCGCCTTGCCGTCGGTCCCTCCGTCACGACCGAGGTCGCAAGGAGAGGAGGCGTTTCGACGTGGCTCTGGGCGTGTGCGTGGTCCAAAGGCTAGAGTGCCCTACATCCACATCCATGAAAGAGATTCCTTCATTTGCGAAAGAAGGGTCAGTCAAGATCCATCAAAATTCCACTTCGCTGCAGGAACACGAAAATCAAATCAACAAACGACCACCGCCACGGTCGAACTGGCGAGTTCGTCGCCTCCGGTCGTGGAAGTTCGCCTGGCTGCGTCGCGAGGAAGTTCGTTCGGTCGCGAGGGGTGGTGAAACAACACCGGGCTGCGCGGGATGCGGTGAGATTCACACCCAAACACTCCATGGAGAGGAATCCCGGCTTTTGGAGGTGAAGGTGGTTGGGGGTAGGTTTGGGGGGTCTAACTACCGAACCTGAGGATGTGGGCCAGGAGCCCTGGGGAATATTCATCGACTCCAGGGCAACCACACCAATGTATCTGAATATGCCAGTCCCATTAGTCGTATCTGGGACAGTCTGTTCAACAACGGACTGCCCTGGTCAGCATTGTTTTATGGTCTGGATTTGAACGCCAAGTATGACTGGAGTCTCCACAGCAAACCGACCGCCTTGTTTTTGAAAAAACATCTGTTTGGATCTGTACAACCCACAGATGCTGTCTGCTTGTATGGTGTGCTCAGCAACGCTTCACCATGCTTTTGTCACGTTTAGTCACCAAGTCTTTGCCACTTCAATCCCCTATGACCACGGCGTTCGACCGTGTGATCGGCAAGGTGTTAGGGTATGCATCATCTTTAACAAGAGAGGTAGCAATAATCAATCCTTTGCACATATACAAGGTTCTGATACTGTACATCTTCTTTCAAAGGACTCTTATTCATTACCACATCAACTGTGAAATTACACTCCCTGAACTCATCATGGAAGTGGAACCTCTACTAAACAAAATGGATCATCGCATTGACCATCTACTGGGCTGCGTGTAAATTGCGACGGAAACCGGTGCACTAGACAAGTAGGAATAACACTACTGTTTGGAATTACACTGGTTTCCGTCGCAATTAACACACGTCCCATCTACAGTCCAGCCCCTAAACCCATACTGACCCCAAACCGCCCCTCTCCTCAGCGGTCCGGGTCCGTCGCCTGTGAGCGTTTGTCTGCTGGGAGACGCCGGCCGTGAACCTTCATCTTCACCTGCACTTCGCTCGCCGCGGAGCGCGAACGCGAACGCGTTCCCGGCGCCGTCGCTCGGCCGCGGGCTGCCGCCCCGGCGCGACGAGGTCTGCTGGAGCCGAAGAGATTGGGAGTGCTCAGAAACGACGCAAGAACATCCTCGCCCATGGCTGGAATGCAAGTTTCTTGCCATACCATTCGATGAAAGAAACTTCTGGTTAAAACCGATTGCTCCCATCACCAGGCGCATATCTTCCCACATCAGACAGCAACATCAGGCTCTTTTTTGTGGAAGTGTTGCAGTAGCAACATGTTGCATTAAAGAAATGTTAGATATGCATGATATTAATATTGCATATTAAATAACTACTTAGTAATGGAATCAAAGCTTGGACCAAGGATGGCCACAAATTAATGAGTTATGTGAGTAAAAGGCCAATATACGGTACCTTTGTGCACTTGTCTTCAGTTTTGCTGAACAGTTTAAACATGTTTTCCGGCAAACTGGAAACTGCCCCAGTTTGTAAACAAAGGGACGTTCTGTTCTGTTTGGCCACAACCAATGTTGAACGAGAGTGTTTCTCAAAGCATTTTTGAATATTTTTGATATGTGGGCAACGCTGTCTCTGGAACAAAACCAGGATAGGACGGTATAGCATCGTTTTGCCTGTGATTTGCCCACCAAAAACATGCGATTGTGCAGAGGTTCTGCAGCTCTAAACCCTTCCGGATGGTGTGGGGCTCTAAACCCTTCAGTATATGCATCGTCCACGTCCGAATTAGCCGACGAGTGGTTTCCGCGGATAGCAAAGACAAGAGCAAGAGTATCAAGCGAACCTCCTTGCGAAGTCTCTGCGAAGTCTCTTCTTCTGAAACAAAAACAATTGCTCGTAGTTCAACATCTGAACAACTGTTTGGTGAATGAGGTTGGGGTGAACATTTGATATATATATATATAGAGGTGTGTATATATATATATATAGAGGTGTGTACATATATATATATATACAAGCTGAACTCCAACTTGCGCCTTCACCTCCGCCCAACAAATCTTGCTTGATCTCCAGCAAGAACTCTCGCGCATCTTGCAAATGGCCCAGCTCCACAGGGGTGCCTCGGACACCAAGTCCCACGATGCTAGGTGCCGTGGGTGAAAACTTGTCCTGCTAAACCCCAACCCGCCACAACCTTCTCCAACGCTCCATACCAAGAAATTGACCTGTCAAATGGTCAAACCATGTCAGACCATGTCGGGACATGCTGCGGTTTTTTCTCCACCAGGCGCCTTGCGTCTGCAGGTTCGGAGACACCACCGATCCACCTCCCGCCCCCTCATCCGATCGGGTTCCCGCACCGATGGGGGCCACAGTGACCAGCCCAGTTCCGCCGCGGCAGGAGGCCCTCCGGAGAGCGCTGGCAGAGCTGCGGCGGTGCACGGGCGTGTTCGAGCTCAGCGAGCCAGCGGAGCCACGGCGGTGCACGGGCGCACCAGCGCCGCTGTGGAGGGAGTGCAAGGCCGATGACGCCTACGGGGCGAATGGAGGCCCAAGTGAAGCTCTCCAGATGAAAGGTTGCTAGGTGCACGGAACTGCACCACATTCGGGGCCCCATGGGATACTCGTACCCAGTAAAAGCTCACCTTTCAGCTGCTTGGTCAAAAAGTCGCTGCATTTTGTATATAATACTTTATATAGAGACAGCAAATGTGTGAACCAATCTTCAATGCTGGACGGGAATCTAGGATATACAATGATATGTGAAGACTCAGATTGCACTCGAAATGTTCAGGCACGTGCAGTCTACTTAAGCTTATTCACGTGGTCTTCCCTCCCAAACCTTTCCCGCGCGTCTGTTCGGCCGAGCGCTTTGCGCCTTCGAGCTTGCGGTGCTGATGCGTGGCCGCGCGCCACGCTGCATGGCGGACAGGTGCCACGGTGGCGAACCAGATCTGTGAAACCCCAGTGCTGTTGGTTTTCCATACGAAACATAAACTCCTTCATTCAGACAGATCATGGCTGTCTTTTTCAAGGAACAGTTCGGAACATGCTTAGCATCTATCAGAGCATCTTCCTCTACGGTCGGCCTGAACTCAGCTTCCATGAGTGGGCGAAATGGTGCCAAGAGTGGGCGAAACACTTGGTTCCAATACTCACTTCATACACGGCATCTTCACCAGCTGAAAGAGATTGGAAGAGCCTGGAGTCGTGGTCTAGATGGTCTAGATGGCTTAGCAAATTGCTCCAATATGGGCCCATGCAGCTTGAACTCTGCAGCTGATGCAGTCGATCTCCTTGGCAGGAAAGGAATGTAAGGCCCAGCCCATCGACCAATTCAATTCCATCAGTTCAGATGGCCAGAGTTGTTGCAATGGTTTTGTTAAGTTTTGTTAGTTCTAAAATCACATGGATTCCACACCAACAGTTGAGAAGCATATCCAGTTTCTGGATCTCGATCTTTCTAAGGGGTAGAGCCTTGTAGAGTTGATTCCAACGAACGTTGTGGATACCGTACCAACATCAATCAACTGTTGCCACGATGTGCAAACAGCAGCCTTCAAAAAGCTGAGGCCCTGCATGACGTCAGGAATCTTGCAATCATTCCCTATCATGCCCTAGGGATCCAAGTACCTTCTCAGAAGGTGATTGGAGACACTGTCATGTATGTTTGGAGGGTCCAAGTACCTTCTGAGAAGGTACGACTGGATCCCTCGGGATGTATGATGAAATGAACAAATTTCGAACATTCTTGCAAACCATCTCCCTCTCACCACCATCAAGAATAGCTGCCACAACGCGCTGCCCACGCTCCGCACTCCCCTTTTTTGGCAGCACCTGGAGTGTGGCACACCGGTGGGACGCTGGAGTTGAAGAACCATAATATACCAGGGCCCCTTAAGGGGTATCTAATTATAGCTCCTTAGAGGTTAAGGGGCATCCATTAACCCACCCCTTACGGGGCCCTGGTATGGTTTAAAGATGTTTCCGTCTGACATGGATCTTCCAACTATGCAACATGGGTTGTTTTGGGCGGGGTATATGGATGAAACAGATTGAACGAAAACATCAGTTCTGCAGCGTTGGAGTCGAGGATCCGGTATACCCTCATGCTAGAAACGAGCCCCCCCAAAGCAGCCCCCAAATTAGGGAGACCGTAAAGAGGGGGTGTCGATTGACCCTGATTGACCCTCCTTATTCCTTAGCATCGGATGTCCAGCTTCGATCCTCCTTCACCATGCCACCAGGGGGGGATGGTTTGGGTCGACTCACTGGGCTGGCAGCTGCGCAGATGCAGAGTTGGAACATGGTATGGAAAAGATATGAAAAGATGGAAAGGTCTACGGCGGATACGGATCAGTTTCTTTTGGCCATGTTGGGCCCACCTCGGATGGTCCGTCTCCGCGGAGCTTCGAAGCTGGAAGACTCCGCGACTCGGCAGGAAGGTTTCCGCGGAGTCGCTCAGAACGGCAGACGGTTTCGACGGCCGTTTTCAGCCGGCTGGGTGGCTTTCGAACTTGGAGCCTTTAGTCCCTATCTAGTCCCTATCTAGTTTGATGTCAAAGGCGCGATCCAACCGCCAGCGATTCAACATGATTCAACCGCAGCCATCAGGAACCATTTTGGGGATCGACTGTGGAGCCGAACGAATCCTAGGAACAAGTGCATCGCTACTAGTAACAAGTGCCTTACTAGTAGTAACAAGAAGCTATTAGAAACGA